AGGTGCTGATAGCATATGGTGTGTAGAAGCTGAGGGTGCTGTTAAATACCCAACAGTCCTCAGTTCCCCACCCCTTCCACAAGCATCCATGTAACAAAGAATCGTCCAGCTCAAAATATCAGTAATGCTACATTGAGAAACTCTATGCTACAGAGAATAAAGGCATGGATTATCGAGTCAGAAGACATGAATTGGAATCCCACTCTGTGGTTTCTTAGTTTGTGACCTTGAGAAAGTTACCTAATCTGTCCGATCCTTATCTCTGAAGTGGAGACCGACCTCGACCTCACAGGTTTCGTGTGAGAAGTACATGAAAAAAAGTATAAAGTATATGAAAAAAAGTATATGTAGAATATCTGGCCAAACATAAGTAATTAAGTTTCCGTTCCTTTTCCTCAACAGTAAAGTACAATATAAGGCTCCACCTCAAAGTGAGTTCTGGAAGAGAAGAATTTTTTAAGTGTTTATATTTTTCACTGATCTGATCCAATCTCAAGGTTTTGTTGTTGGTTTTTAAGTAGTAAGGTCCAGGTTGACTTTATTGAACTGAAGAGAATGTGTCCTATTGGTTTGAGAGACTGCAGAAAAACTCTTGGTTCCCATTGGGATCTTTCTGGTCACAGTTCCAATGGCATCATAGATTCTGTGTGATATAAGTAGGGAACAGGTAGGTTGGGGAGTCAGATCTCGATTCAAATTTTGTCTACCTTTCTTGGTTCTGTGACCTTGGGCACAAGATACTCTGATTAAGCCTTAATTTTATTTATTGGCCAACTGAGGATCATGGTTTTTATTTTTCATATTTAATTTTGGACTCTAGATAATATAAATAAACAGAGCCAACATAGAGCTGGACAATGCTGCCTTAATTTCAATAATTTGAAGTAATTATTCTTCTTGTTTTTGTTTTTCTTGTTTCATTAAAGAGATGAGAGGTTGGCCAAAGAGAGAACAAGGGTAGCCTCCAAGGTGGAGAGAACAAGTCCCATGGGAGAGACCAGGGAAGAGAGCTCACTTTAAATGAGCATCCTGTTCACAGAAATCAACCCTACACTTTTGAATGAGATCTTTGAGTATATTGAACTAAAAAGGCTCCTAATACTAAGCATGTGGTTTTTAAAGAGAGGAAGTGGTCAGGTACCGCATATTACCAGAAGGGCTCTGTGACAGATTGTATTTTCCAAAGGTGGTTGCAACAATTTCCCATCCCAGACCACACATTGAGAAACTCTGTAAATTAATTCAAGGTATTTTATTTCAATATAATTTTTGATATGCTCATTTGTTTCAAATTGTAAATATAATACAAGCTCATTATGAGAAATTTGGAAAATACAATAAAAGAATGTAAGATTAAAAAAATCAAGTTAGCACTGGTATTAAAATATCTTTTGGATGAATTTCTGTTTTCAAGTGTGTTTAGCTACATAGTTCGGATACAAAATTATAAGTGACCATGATGCTAAGGCTGTGTCTTCACATGCAAAACAAAGTGCAAATTAAGATAATTATTGCCAAAATTTAGGCCCATAACTTGCTTGCCTAGACAATCCCTATAATTAAGGAAAGGTGTTTGGGATAATTGCCTCAATTTACCACTTCAGTTGGTTGAAGGAATGAGGTATCAGAAATTGGCTGGCGTAAGTATTCTGATTGTATAAAATGCTTAATCAGACCATTTTTCTCAAAGTATTTTTTTTTTGGCTCAATGAAAAGCCTTTAAAAATATTAAACATACTTTGATTCAATCGTCAAAAGAATCTTCCTGTTTTCAATGCCCAAATTACCAATCAATTCTATCAATTTAGTTAAAAGAAAGAAAAAGAAAAGAAAACCAAAAAAGCAACCAAGCCATTTAATAAATTCAAAACACATATTTCTAGGTATAAAGTCTTCCCTGGAATATTTGTAACAAGTAAAATGAGATGTACCCTCCATATTGTGCTGAGTTATGTCCTATCAGATTTATAAGAACAAATGGGAATATGTCCTGAGTACTACTGAATCCTCCTCAGGAATAAGCCAGTCTTCGACAGAGTTTCCATTTGCCTCCATAGCATGTGCATATGGTTGGATGGTAAACAAAGAGATGGTCTGAGGAGGGAGTAAAGAGGGGCTACAGTCCAACAATTTAAATCAGATTGCAAATATTGTTTTTTAAGACATACCTGAAATATACACTTTTTAAAAGATGTATGGAGGGGCGCCTGGGTGGCTCAGATGGTTGGGCGTCTGCCTTCGGCTCAGGTCATGATCCTAGGGTCCTGGGATCGAGTCCCACATCGGGCTCCCTGCTCGGCAGGGAGCCTGCTTCTCCCTTTGCCTCTCTCTCTCTCTCTCTCTGTGACTCTCCTGAATAAATAAATAAAACATTAAAAAAAAAAAGATGTATGGAAAGTAAATTTTAGGAGTGCTTCTAATCTTATCCTCTGTGTCTTATATTAAAGAATGCTGAATAAGTTGTCAGAGTTTACTATCAAGAATCATGAGGAAAAATGATATAATATCAACTAATCAGAAGAGTAGATAATAGGTAAACAAGAACTCCCTGTGGCCTCTGGTCTTGCCTTGAAGGGAAATGTAGAATGGTCTGCCACTCGGAGTCATATCATACCGACGGGAAGACAATATAAGGACAGGGAGGATCTACCTTATAAAACGAAGTCTCTGGTTAATTCAGAATTGGTTCATTTCTCAGTCCTCACCCAGGATATCACGCCATTTAACTTTCTACCTGCCCTTATTTCAAAGATGCTTGTGTGTAAAACCATGATTTCTTGATGAATAGTTGCTTGCCAAGATCTATCTTATGTTTTGTAGAACACTAAAGCACGCTGAATGGGAAAATCTGCAAGCTTTGTTCAAAGACATATACTCCCTTGAAATGCAGCATTTTATACTTGACAAAAATGCAACAGAGCTTAATAATCCAGACAAATGCTTTTCTAAAACTTTGAGTGCTAGACTAAAGTTTCAGAAAAAATTTTGGCCGGTTTCAAACGTTAATGGGGAGATGGTAGATTTATCTGGTTCTTTTCACGGGAGGTAGGTGTCCTGGTGAGGTGTGTGTGGTATGTTAGTCAGTCACTGTCCAATTGGGACTCCAGTTTTCCTCAGATCATCTCTCCCTCACTTGTGTTTCCTGTTACAGCAGTAACTGGAGGTGATCACAAAACAGTAGGATATTTATTTCCTGGTTTTAGCTGACTAATGAGAATCTAAGAGATACTTGTAACTTTTGCGTGCTGGCTCAGACAGTGGGATTTTTCTCTCCACTTGGGCAGTTCCTCTTCTTCTAAAATCAATCAAAACCATATCCTCAACTGGTCCCATACTTAACTAAAACACATAAAATAAGCCAGGGCTTTTATTCAGTAACTTAGGGTACAAAATAACTGGATCATTATCTATTTTTAGGAAAAGGAGCAAATATTAAATGATATGACTTCTTTACATAGTAAAGATAAACTCTCTTCCAATTCCTGCTAAGAGTAATTTGTTAACTAGGGTAGAATGGGAAGGAAGAAAAACAAATCACCCAAAATAGGTGTTATATATGAAAATCAGTCAATGAATATAATATCATCTCAAGAGTAAAAGAACAATAATAATAATAAATGGCAAATCAGAAACGGATAGTACTAAATTTCCCCCCCTTTTCACCAACTTACAGGATATCCCGTCTAGCTGCAGAAACAAAACATGGAAATGAATCAGTCGATAAAGGATTTTCTCCCATTAAAGATGTCAGTGATTTTGTCCCATGTAGGGGAAGTTGAACATTAAGATGGATGTTCACAATCTGTGGATGCCATAGTACCACCCCCCCCACTCCCCGCAGGGGGATGCAAACTTTTCTGTGTGTGATAAAGAATGTCAAGTTAAAAGCAAAAACATTTTATCTAAGTATGATAATAAATCACACCATATACTGACCTAAATATTTTTTTCCAACATTGATAGTCAATATCTTTTGACTGCTGCCATAACTGACGACTTTTCTTTTTCTTACTAAGTCTCAGAAAAATGACACCTAGTCTCTTCTAACTTCTTTGAGGGGCAGGGATGGAGATGAAAGCAGTAACTGTGAATGTGGAGCCAAAGAGAGAAGAGAGGCTATTTTATTCAGGAGAAATTCAGAGGTCATCCAAAAAATTGTCGTGGTAGTTTTCATTTCGGAAAGATGAGAGTTACATGTAAAACAGCTTATATTTTTCACAAGTTAAAAGTGAACAAGTTAGTTTGATAGTGGTGATCGCTTCATCATGTATCCGTGTATCAAAACATTAAGTTGTGTACCTGAAATATGTGCAATTTTTATTTGTCAGTTTTGCCTCAAAAAAGCTGAAAATTAAATTAAACTAAACATCAGGCAAAGGAAGGAAGTGAAAAGTCCCTACATTCACAAGATTCATACGTCCGAGAAATGAACTTGTCCTAAGAATCAGGTTTAAGACATTTTTTCGACGCCTAGAAGGACTTAGGCTTTCCACTTTCCCAGAAAGATAAACTGCGTATTACACATGTTGTTATCGTGTTGGGATCAAGACGGAGGATTCTCTGGGATGAAATATTTAAAGAAGGAGGTGAAGAAAGATTGATGTAATACCAATTTCAGGCAGCTTCAAGACAAGTGCCGGTCCACATTTGCATGGCAACCTCCCCTCACCCCAGGACCACGTGGTCAGCGGTGCATGGCTTGCCACAGACATCAACCACTTCTTCCACACGCTGGCTGCCTTTCAACAGTGAAGCATGCATATCCTCCCCTGAGCATTTGGGGAGCCTGAAGGCACAGAGGTATGATATAAATGGAAAAAATAAAAGGAAGAGTTTGATTAAAACTCACCCTTGTAAGCCGTCTAGGTGTCCTGCTCAGGCTTCCAAAGTGGGCATTGAGACAGGCCACCCAAACTGCTGACATCCTTCACTGACCCTTTCAGAGCAATTGGGAGCCTAATGACTTTGTTTTTAGGTTTTGGAACTGAACTTTACAGGGACTGGTTCCAAACCTGGGTGGTGCTGAGAAAACTCAAGTCTCAACCAGAATTTGGCAGAGACCACCAGACATGTTTCATGTGGGGGCCTTTTCCCATAATCTCACCAAAATGGTTTATGAATGTTCTGGGGAGCAAAAAGCAGGTCCCAAAGGCCGAGAAAGGGCCATGCCCTGCTCCCAACTAGGAGACCACACAGCCATCCTCTCTCCCCTCTGAGTATTTAGAGTTAGAAAACCACACCACCCCTCTTGTTCGGAAGCTAAGGGTGAAAGTGGAAAAAGCCAGGAAACACAAATTGCATCCTACAGCTGAGAAAGCCTCTCTCTTGGAAGAGCTAGAAAATAAATAAATAAAGGGGGAAATCCAAATGGGATTGCTCTTCAAACACACAAATGATCTTATGTTAACAGTTGGGATTAAACAGCTGTCTCGTGGTTATGTGATCATAACAGATGCTGTGTGCAAACGTTTCCTGCTAGCTTTGTTTTGGTTATTGCTGTTTGTGCAGTTCAATGGGCTGAATTCAGCTTAAGGGATACAGGTTTTTATTATCCTTCTGTGCTGCACGGGCAGCTTCATCATCTCTTTAAGAGGAAAGGAGGCGAGTGTGAGGCAGAGATGAAGGGAAATGGAGGGTGGGCTCTCCAATGTCACGTCGGGAATGATGTCATCTTGATGAAATTCCAACACACTGGTTTATGGCCACGTTGCCATGAAAGTGGTCCCCAGTTCTATTATGTGGTTGTGTTTTCCCCCTCCCCTTCGTGGAGGCTGTCGTTGGGTCCAGTGCAGTTTATGCAGCTGGAATAGAATTTATAGAACATAGAGAAAGGTTTTTTGATGACTAACAGCTTACAATGTTTTAATGATCCCTATTTTGTCTCTTTTCTTCCCATGCCCTCCAGAGATAAAATATACAAGCTGATTTTGATTTTTCCTAGAAATTTTATTTAATCCCAAGAGTGGGGATCGCCCTATCTATGTCAGCCAAGTAACATGGTAAGCCACCACTATTTTTTTGCAAGTTCAAATCTGGAAGCCATTTTGGCCTGAATTATATTACTCGTTTAAACCAAAATATCCTCTTGGCTCAAATTCTTCAGAGAACCACCATGATTCATAACCCACTTTGCCAACCAGCAGATTTTACTTTTATTACTTATATTTTCCAATTTTTTTGATATGATGTAAATGGCAGAAATAATGTTTCTGAGTTCAAAAAGCACCTGGCTGCCATGAGGAGGAGGCAGGGAGAATAATGTGGTCCATACCTAGCAGGTCAGGCCATGGTGCTGCCTGTGGTCCCTGGGGCACAACTCCCCAGGACCTCAGTCCTCGGGTCAGGTCGAAAAGGTTGATCATCATGCACACAGCCATGCATTCACTGTTGGGTAGCTCATCTGTGCTTTTTGAAATTTTGGATGGGGAAAAGAGGGAGTGTCTTCCATTGCTCAACACTTATCTTAGGAATCATACCTTTGAATCAGACATTTTACCATAGCTAGGTCTCTCCCAAAAACATCTTTACTGAAGAAGAGGTTTTAATAATATATACACATATTTAAGGAACCATACTTAAATCACCTCTTATTCTCGCTCAAAGAAAGGGGGTTAATAATCACCCTTTGGGGTTCATCAGCTCACAGAATGAAATCAGACCTCCTCTGATAAGTTGTCAAAGCAGGGCACCTGGGTGGCTCAGTCGGTTAAGTGTCTGCCTTCAGCTCAGGTCAAGATCCCAGGGTCCTGGGATCAAGTCCCACACTGGGCTCCCTGCTCAGCAGGGTGTCTGCTTCTCCCTCTGCCCCTGCTCATGCTCTCTCTCTCTCTCTCAAAAATAAATAAATAATCTTTTTAAAAAAGAGTTGTCAAAAGAGTCACATTTCTATAATGTTTTCAATACATTTTAAAGCAACTTCATTTACATTCAACACTTGATCCGACAAATAGCTCCTGGAGGTATTTTCCTGATTTTACAGAAAAGCAAGTCAAGGCCCATTTTATAAGTACCACATGGAAGTTGCCCAATTTTATAGAAGCGGTAAGTGGTGGAGCCCACAGAGGTTCCCACATCAGAGATCAATGGCCATGTGATAGAGAAACTGAGTAGAACATTTGCCCCAGGGACCACTGTTGTTGTCATTGTCCTTTCTCATTGGGTGAGTTAGTGGGAGGGGGTGCATTACCTCAGGGTTACCTCTGTTGCCTTTAA